CTATTTTTATTTTAATCTAATAATAAATATTTTTTATACTTACAGATTAAATAATAAGAATAAAATAATTTATATGTAATAGTAAATACGTATTCTGTTTTATGAACTTGTTTTGCTAGTTTTATTTCTTAATATTTAAAATATACTTAATAACAAATTTAATACAACTTATATCGACAGTTACACAAATCTAAATTTAAAACCGATATATCAAGAGATGTGATTATCTGATTTGTACGTATACAGAACTACATATTTGTGTTACCAGTCGATATATCGAAAGTTTACACAAGGGTTCGGGATTGACTAATCTATACGTACAAACAATCCAGGTTAATCCGAAAATCCATCTAAGAGGTAATCCTAGCTTGGAAAGCTTGAAAGAGGCGAGGAACTTGGTCCGGGTTTAGGGTTACTTGGGTAAGTATTTGGTTCTTAAGTTGGGTCTTTGGGTACTATAAAAGAGTATGCGATATAACAATTTGGGTACTTTTACTCTAACTAGAAACTGTATTTAACGAGAAAATATCACGGGGACAAAATTTAACAAGAAACGATTTAAACGAATTAAACAAATCGATTTGTAGTAATTTAAAGGGAAACTTATTTAGAGATAAACACTTCTATTTCAAGACTATTCAAGACTCAGAAGGTTTTTTCGAACTCTAAGAGTTGCTTTATTGAAGGGAAATACTCAGTCTATATATACCTTTCGTTAATACATAATTCAATACAAAGTATACTAATAATTTCTATTAATTTTACTATTAACCCTATTTACTAACTACGCTCATTTATTACTACTTATCAAATAGTAACCATTATTTTATTTCTACGAATTTTGGTTACTATGTTATTCTGTCTCAATGGGTTAACTTCACAAATTCACCGAATTTCATGAATTTCATGAATTTCGTGAATTTGAGTTATCGGATCCGAGGTGGTGATTTCCCCTTCACAACGTTCTGGATCTTAACGCTTCACGTTTTCCACTCTAAGCATCTATCCCACATAACTTAAAACCAATCTGTGCACGCATATATATTGCTCTCCTGATCTATGGCTTAACACCAGGCACCTTTAACGCAATAATCCTGTATCCCTTTTGAGGATAAGGGTTATGATCCTTTAGGGTAACGTACGTTATTAATATGTCATATTATGTGCGTATTAAACCGGTCTTCAATATAAATCGCAATTTTGTGTACTAGCAATGTAAATTTTTATGCATTATAGATGAAAGGGATTAATATAATTTATCCGACAATGAATTATTCTATCAACGTGAAAAATAATTTAAATATTGAATCGATTTTCATGTATTTCAAATACTTCATAATCTTCTACATTAACAGTTTTATATCGATCTAAATTTAACTCATCTAATTTTAATTCTTCATAGCATTTCTTTTTGCATTTCCATCTTGGTTTCGGAAAATCAGGGGTAGAATAGAAAGAAAGATCAGTTTTCCCAAAAGATGGACCATAACTTTTATCATAATGAATAGCCTTGTCAGTATTTTCAACTCGGTGAATAGAATGTTCCTCATTTTTAAAATAAAAGATAAAACTACTTTTTGCTGATATAAATTGCTTACGGGAAACTTTTTTCCACTCCACAGGATTATATCCACCAAGTATTATATTGGAATTTTTAACTTTTAATATAACAACCGTTTTGGACTTCTTGTCACACCGTTTATAAAAATCATCAATTGTGAATCCATCCCTACTACTTCTAAAAAGTAATTTAAATTCATATTTAGGAATACTACTCGCTATGGACTCTGGTTCATTAATCCAAGAAGCAATTCTTATAGCATGTTCTTCTTTTATTATTTTGCTTCCCAATATAATTTCCCATATAGACTTTTTAAATTCTTTTGATGCATTAAAAATGCTAATTTGGGACGTTGATATTTTTGTTAATAATAATTCTTCGTTCTTTAATAATAATTCTTTTTGCTTCAAATCATTATATATTGAATTCATTACTGGTCTCTCATTCAGATCTTGACTACGGTATTGGAAAGAAAGTTTACTCAATTGAACACATTTATTAGATGTATTCTTATCATTTTCAGTAGAATCAAAAATGTCACTAATAATTTTTCCAAATCTATAAACATCTGATTTCTTGCCGCATTCACAAGAATTTTTTGAACAGTGTGATCCGAAATGTTCAAATCCAAATGATGTGTTTGACATTGAATTACTTGATGACTTTGCTAATCCAAAACCTGTGACTACTGCCGAGTCATTCTTAATCAAAATATTCTTAGAACCCTAAGTGAAATAAATAAAATGGTTATTGATTTTTATTTGTTTGACATCACGATTGATGTAATAAAATACTTACAAGATTTCGAAGAATAATGTTTTGTTTATGTAAAATATTCAAACCTTGGGCTATTTCTCTTGCAATGCGTAATTTTGATTTAAAATCTGGATTATTTTCTCTAAGATATTCTTGTAAATTTTTACCATTAATAAATTGAAGAATCATATAATAATTATCTGTCGTAGGATCTACTTATCGTATAATATTATATTATTAAATGATTTAAATGCAACATAAATTATAAAAAAAAAAAAGAAATAATACCTTTAGTAATTCCATAGAAATTGTTGATGTGATGAAATCCGCGGATTTTTTGTAAACGTTGAATCTAAGCGATTGATTCAAACATTAAATTTAAGTAAAATTAATTCAATAAGAAATTAATAATAATACCTCATCAACAAACACTTGAAAATCCTTTTCATTAATATTGTCAAGATTTAAACTTTTTAGAATGACTGTTAAACCGTTCCATTCATACTTTATTTTAGACCCGTTTTGCTGAGATTCGGTAAATTGGTTATAATCAAAAAAATTGATTAATTTATTTTCTTCAAGAAATTTTTTTTCTAAAATTTCATACATACTCATTGTAGCGCCTCAAATAAAATTATTAACCAAATTTATAAACAAAAATTTGTGATACACTACGTATTAGAATTAAAATTCGAATTCAATCGAATAGTTAGGTAATTATTAACATCAGGAATTGTACTTACGGAAATAAAAATGTAATACGTATAAAGTATACGTATACTGCTGCTTTCGAAGTACTGTACGTACGTACAGTAGAATCTTAATCGGAGTAGCAATCCGAGGTACGTGCTGTGGATACTTCCTGAAATTAGGAATTTATATAGATGATTGTTCAAAACAACATAAACAGAGTTCTTGTGGATTTTCCAGAAATGTGATTACGTAACACTATATTGAGGAATCTTTACAATGAGGTTGTTGATTATTGAGTAACTATTTGCATCTATTTTTTACATTAAGTTAGACCAAATCAAAAAAAAAAAAAAAAAAAAAATCCGCCCATATGCTTTGATTAGTAAAAAACGATTATTTTTTAATTACAAAATACTATAAACTCCGTGATTCCGGAACGTTTCTTGTATACACAAGATGCAGAAGAAAAAAACAAAAACAAAAGGAAATATTAATATTGACATATTGTACATATTGTACGTACTGGTACACTCATTTTCTTTTTTGAATTACCTTATATGGGACCTCTCACAACAAAAGGAGGCGATGGAATCCCATCTCCTCCTTTTGCTGTGGGGGTCCCATATGTAGATAGGTTCTCAAAAAATTTTTGATTAGAATTTTCATATATCTTATTCGCTATTTCTGTATTTAAATGCATTATTGTTCCCGTAAAAAATGATTTTTTATCGGTATCTGATACAAAGTACATCTGAATAATTTTGAATATTTAAGGCTATACATGAAAAAAAATGGTAGACATAAGTTATCTCCGTTATTCAGAAATTGAAGGCATAATTTCAGCATGGCTTCTTGCTATAGCCATCGCTTTAACTTTAGATTCATTTATTCGAGCTTTATTAAATAGAAAAATTCCAACAATTCAATTATCCAACATAGTTAATATCGATTGGCTCAGCAATAATGGTTATTGGCTTCTTAAGCCTGTAAATCTTGCAACCTTGATTAGCGAAATAATTATGCCTTTAATGTTAATTACAAGTTCATATTGTTCAAATATTGCGACAAATGAAGTTGATAATTCAAATTGTTATTATGCTGTAAGTTACGAAAAATGTTCGAAATATTCATCAATATTACCATTATATTTTGTAATATATCCTATTACTCAATTTTGTTACGTGATATCCAAACCACTCTTACTACATCTTGCATATATACGATGTTATGGAATTGCAATAGATAGTGAAATAAGATTTTTCAAAATGTTGCGAAGCAAACACTTTTACCGAATACATATAATTATTATTTTTGTTCGTTTTTTTGAACTAACCCTCTCTTTTGCAGCAAGTATAGTAAATTCTGCATGTAAAGGCTCAACCTGTGATGGGCTTTGTTATCGTGTAATTTATTTTTATTTACCAGGAGATATACTCCACACTATTTTCCGCATTTATTATATTGTACTTGAGTTTATGTATTATTATGCAAAGTTTTATGAAGACAAACGAGGTCTTGGGAATCGAAACCAGCAAAATTTCCAATTTGTCATATTTATAATCGATATAGTGCAACTTATCTTGATGTGTATTTACCGAATAATAGTATTAATTCAATTATTTGGAATCACTACAATTGTCTTACCCACATATATTTATGCCGAACTTTCAAGTACGGCATTTACAATATTTGTGATGACCAGATTTGTTGATACTATCATACATTGATCAAAAACAAAATAATCAAAATGATCAAAATAATCAAAATGATCAAAATGATTAAATGATGGTATTTCACATTGTTAAAGAAATAATACATAGATGCAGTACTTTAGTTATTTCAGTATTTATATACTTTTTTTTTTAATTTTTCTCAATATCAAGAATAATTTTGCAATGTCTCTAAACCTTATTTTAATATTTCTTCCCCTAAAAACTTTCAACTATTTTTATCATTTGTATGTAAATCTACAAATATTATATAGTCAATAACTTATTTATTGTCCGGTGCGAAATGGAGGATTACTTTTAATAAAAATCAAAAATATAGTTTCGTCATTTCTACTAGGATATAACTCTGTGTTTATATTTGTTTATGTATTAAGGGTACTTTTTTAAATTGTTATTTAGATTTTTCTAAGTTTTGAATATAAAAATTTTTAACACAAAATTTTCATGTTAGTGTTAGTATTTAGGGTTAGGGTTTGGGAAGGGTTTTTAGAAGCGTAGAGTATTTTTACTTAAAACATCTTGTACTAATTAATTAGCTAGTTAGTTTTTGAGATAATATATATAGGTACTAGCTTATAGACAGGTGCTAGTTTTTTTTATTTTTTTTAGTTCTTAAAATTTTTAAATCAAAGTTTAAATAAAATTTTAGTTTTTTTTAGAGTTAGAATTAGAGTTAAAGTTAGTTATTAGTTAGTTTTTTTATTTATTTTAGTTTTTAAATTTTTTTATATAATTTTTTTTAGTTAAAGTTTAAATATATTATTAGTTAATAAATTTAAATTAGGATTTAAATTAAAAAAAATTATTAGTTAATAAATTTAGATTAAGATTTAAATAAAAAAAATATTAGTTAATAAATTTAGATTAAGATTTAAATTAAAAAATATATATAACTTTTCAAGATAATAAAAAAGCAAGAAGGTAGCAGCTACAAAGAGAATTATCTTCCTCTGAAGGATATTACCAATTATCACTTATCAACTCTGTTTTTTACAGAATATATTTCTAATAAAATCTTACTTATAGATAACTATAACCTTGCTAGTACTAGCAAAGATATTGCTAAACTATCTGATAATAACATAAGCTTAAAACCAAATCTTTTAAATATTAAGAAACAAAAATTTAACTTACTTACTACTTCAAAAATTATAAAACATAAGCAAAACAGTTTACTCTTAACAAAAAATATAATAATACAACACGTGACTTATAGCATAATATCTAATATTATTACTAATAATAATAATACATAAATCACTATAAATAGTAATAATACTATATAGATTACTATAAATAGTAATAAAAATCTATAGTTACTCCTAAAACTAGATGATAACACAAGTTATATAACTGATGATCTGACTCTAGTATTTGATATAGATTTCTAATCTATTTTAACTATAGAAGAGATATTATGAGCAAGAACTCTATCTTTACATATATCTTATAGTCAGATATTATAAGTAGATAATAAGTAAGACAAACTAATAAGTACTAATAATACTAATACATAAATAGAAATTATTAATCAAAATCTAGTAAATAAAGAATTAGATTAATTTGACTATCAAAAATGAACATCAAATAAAATCTTACAAAGTATAATAACAGTTAATAGTATTAAAAATCTTATCTAATACAAGCTACTAATATAATATATAATGTTTCAAGCAATTACACTTAAATTTAAATATAAAGATATAGCCTTCTTTTAATATTTATAAGAGCTAAATACTCAAAACTAGTTTATCAAATACAGTACAAATAGCTCTTTATCTAAGCTTTAAATAGATACAAAAATAATATGATATTACTATTACTAATAGATCTACTAGAAACTTAATATATATAAAACTTAGACAAAAACTTGCAATAAACTTTTTAATGAATACAGATTTTAGAGCCTATATAGTAAGCAAAATAAATAGTATAATTAGATATTGCAAAAGATTTATAAGTGATAGTTCATTACTAAACCTAGTTGAGTTAAAAGCTAAGCAATAGAAAAAACTCTATTAGAACTTCTAGAATTACTAGAGTTAATATCAAATAAAATTAGCAAAGACCTTCTAATTAAACTATCTATTTCTAAATACCCAGAAACTAGAGCAGTCATTATATATCTTTATACTTTTTTTAAATTTAATACACTATTTAGCAGTTATCTTAAGGTACTTTTACTACTGCTAAATAATCTAGAAGAGCTAAATTTATTTCTACAAGACTTTTTTCTAATATCTAATTATAAAAAACTTTAAAACCTTTTATATTATAAAAGAAAACTTCAAGATTACTATGAAACAAAAAAGATTATTTTCTTTATTTTGATCTTTTAAGACTAAAAGAACTACTGTCTCTAGTTTACTAAGAACTAAACTTGAAAGTTAGAAATCTATTATCAATTAATCTAATAGAGCTAAACATATTTTTTTCTCAAGTTATCAAATAGTTAAGAAGGTATTACTCTTTTAAACAAATTCTAAATAATTTCTTTAAACCAAAACTTAAACTATCTACAGATATAGCAAAGATTAAAACTAATATTATCTTTAGCTACTCTATAGAAAATAATACAAAAATACTAAAATTTATATAGAAGACTAGACCTGTTTACTAATATAGTCTACTTTTATTTCCTACAATTATAATAGTTAATCCAACAAACAAACTTTAGCTTTTAGAAAATATAAGTCTTATTGATAATTTTAATTTTATATTATCTATTACTTTACTAAAACTAGTAAGAAAAATAATAAGAATGCTTTGCTAATACTATTATTTTACTAAGTTACTAGAAATCTAAATAGACTTTCAAAAGATAATAAATAAAACAGATAAAGATTTCTTAAATAGAATAGAGTTTTCAGAAACTTTAAAAGCTATACTTAGCTACTTTTAAACAAAAAAAGTAGATATAATACAAAACTCACTACTAATAACTTAATAAGTTGTAATAATACTAATACTTAATCTCTTGTACTACTACTTTAACTTCAATAGTATTCCCAAAATCTTACTCAAATTACTTTCTCTTCTAATGCTATTTTAAGAGATTTTTAATAGTACAGATAACTACTAAATCATTCTTTAATAATATTAAATAATATAACTTTTCTTTAATAATTATAATATAAAATATATAAAGAATAAATAATAATATTAAAGCTTAGCAATAGATAGAGTTCTGTAATATAAATAATTTAGATATCATTAGTATTACTGAAACAAAATTAGTATAATTAAAATTTACTAAATATTCATTTAACAATACTTATTACTATATCTTTATATTCAATACAACTATTAACAAAGTATAAAAACAGAAAGCCAGTATAAATATAGTAATAGCAATTAAAAATTCTTTTCAGCTATATATTTACAATATTATATCTTTTTCTAGCATAGCAATTGCAATAGATTTTTTTTTTATCAAGCAACAATTGTTTTAGACTTATTTCTTTTTATCTTCTATTTTATAATATATCTTTACTTGAAGCAACTCATCAAAAAATAAATGAATAAATAGATTATTTAAATAAGTATAATTTGCAACTTTTAATTCTTGAAAACTTCAACTCAAATCTGAAAAAAAAATAATACTATAAAACTATTCTATAAATTACAAAAAGCAGATCTCTAAAGTGTACTTAAAACTTTAAAAATTACTATATCTATATAAACAAAAAAATAACTGCAAACTAAATTAATGATATACTTATATTACAAAATATTATTAACACCTTCTTAGCTTCTAGAATTATAGAAGTAAAAAAAATAACTAAAAGTGATTACAAAGCTCTAACAATTGAATAGTGTATTAATCTCTTTAATAAAAACAAAACAAGAAAAAAAGCTAATAAAAACTTAACTTTAAATATAAAGAAATAGATCTTAAGAAATAGTAAGACTTTGTATAAAATAGCTCAAAAAAAATATCTAGTATTAGAGAAGCATAAAATTTAACTAACAATATAATATAACTTAATAAGGTTTAATAATTATTTAGTAGTATAATACTTTAAAATACTAAAAAGTATATACTATATATGAACAAAACTTTCTAATCCTTTAATACTTATATTCTAATTATATTAAAGCTTTATAAAGCTCTTATTATAATGAATAAAACTATAAGAATAATTAAAAGCAATATTGCAAATTAGCAAATTATTGAAATTAACAAAAATATCTTATAGATTAATAAGCTAACTAGAATAAATATTATGCTAATTAATATTTTTGATCTTATAAATAATTTTTTACTAGTTATATAGTACTTTGAAATATACAAAAAATCTCTATATATAGTAAGATAAATTAATTTAAGTAGTTTGCTATACAGATATTAGATTATTTGTTTAGTTCTACACTATGCTACTATATCTGCAATCTACCTATAAGTTATCTATTTAAATACTCTGATCATTAACTCATCTTTTATACTATACTAATATTATTATAATATCTAACTGTTTAAGTTAGCAGACTTGCCTATAGACTCATTTACTATACAATTTAGATCTTTTTGAGATATGTATTATTTAATATATTATAAGTATGTAGAGCTCTAGTTAATTTTAGAAGTAATTTCTACTAAAGTAGCTATATACTCATTTTATAGATTTATTTAGCTTAAACTCTTATAATATTTATATAACTCTAGATTCTACTATAGTTCTTTACTAATTTTTTATTATTATTATTATTATTATTATTATTATTATTATTATTATTATTATTATTATTATTATTATTATTATTATACTATAGTAGAAACTTTATTTAAAAAAATTAGAATATATATTCAATACTTAAAGATTTCTAACTATATTTATATTACATTAAATTTAAGATACCCAATATAACATTACATCTCTATTTCCTAATTCATGCTATATTTAATTATTTCAAATTAGTTTTTAGCTAAGATAAGTTGAAAAGAATCTGAAGTGTTAATCATGATATTATAATATATAATTTGTTAATAAAAATTTTTATAGAAACTATTTTTTGATTTTAGATTTGTAATTTGTAATTTGAGTAGATATAATATTAGTATTTGATCTATTAAATATTGTTAGATAAGAGAATTTTATATGTTTTGTTTTTTTAGTAATATTTCAAGCAGTTTCTTATTGGTGTTAGTAGTAGTTTCATTAGAACAATATTTTAGTATAGAGCTATTTGAGTAGATTATTGAATAGATTTGTTAGAAGAGAATCTGTTTGTTTTTGAACAATATTTTTAATATTAGTATATGTTATAAGTGAAAAGTTGCTAGTTATTGATAAAAGTATATAGTGATATTGTGGATTTAAAGTATTTAATATAAAATATAAAAGAATGTTAAGAAGTATTTGTATAGTAATTGTTGAGATTTTAAGAGAAGTTAAAGTATTATTAATTATATCAATTAATAATTATTGAATATTTGGTGTATTTTTAGTGCAGAGAAGAATATATATAGTATTTTCTGTAGTTAGGCATTATGTATAGTTAGAAGTTGTATATAAGTAAGGATAGTAGATATTTAGATTTTGCATTGTTAGTAGATTGTTTGTTAAAATTTTTATATGAAAAGTATATATTTGAGAATTGTATTCTAGAGAGTTTAATATTTTAAATATTAAAGCCTATTTTGTTTCTGTATTGTTTTAAAAGAATTTTAGAGAAGTTCAAGATGAGAATTCTTAAATTGTGATTGTAGATTTAATAAAGGAGTAAATTTTGAATAGTATAAGATGATTATTTCAGAAGAAGTGAGTAGGGATATTGAAGAGAAGAAAGGAGAGTTCAAGAATAGGTTTAGAAGTTTCTTATCTGCTTAATTATGAAGAGAGTTTATATAGTATAATTTAATTTTAGTAAGTGTAAGAGTAAGATTTTTAGTTTTTTTAAGTAAGTTGATGATGTATAGTATATCTTAACTTTTGTTTTTAAATTAGTTTAGTAGAAGAAGTATTTGATAAGTTTTTAATTGCTATTTTGCTGTTCAAGAAAATAATTAGAGCTGAGTTTGTTGGAATAGTAAATAGAAATATGATAATTGAAAATAGTTCAATTTGTATAGAGTCAGAATAAGGTGAGGATGCTGCATTAAATTTAATTGATATATTAGTATTGCAAATTCAACCTATATTTACTTAGATATTAGAAGTTTGTATGTTTTTAATTGAAGTATCTGTGTAGAACTATAAGTTGTTTGAATGTAAATTTTTAATAGATAAAAGAGACTAGTTAATTAATTTTGGTAAGTAGATAAGTTAAATGTTTGTTGTATTAGTTGTACTTCAGAGGATGCTAGGTTTATTTGTAGTAGTATTTGGAGGAGCAGTTGGTTTCTAGTAATATTATAAATATGAATAAGTGATAAAATTTCTTTGTAATTTATTTGAATTGAGGTTGAATTGTTGTATTTATTGATTTGTATATAGAGAATATTAAAGATGAAAAAATTTAGATTTAGTAATGATGAGATTTGAGTTAATAGAATTTGTTTAGAGGGTATATTTGTAATATGATATAATAAAGTTTGTTAAGAGTTAGAATGATAAGAAATATAAATATTTTGTTCATTTAAAAAGTGAAGTTTAAAAGAAAAGTGATTTAGAGAGAGGTTTAGTAAAATATGATTAATTGTATTAATAAAAGAGTTAATTTGTAGTAGATTTAGTTGTGGTTAAGTATTAAATATTAAATTATTTTGAGCATATTGTGAGATTTGTTTGAACTAGTTAGGTGTACATTCTTTAATTAGTTTGTTTGTATAAAAATAGATATTATTCTATAATAAAAGATATTTGTTATTAGCTATAGTAATTTGTTCGATAAAAAAAATTTATTATTTTTAAGACTACTAGTGATTAAACTATATGAGTTTGTAGAAAGAATTTTATAGATTAAAGAAGAATTTTTTGAAATTGTTGAGGGATATATAGAAATTTGTGAAAGGTTAGATGAGTAATATTGTTTTTTGATAGTTGTAAAAGATGAAATATTATAGTGTAGTTTTGTGTTTTGTATATATAAGTATTTAATAGATTTACAGTTATTTTTGGATACTATATTTTTGATAGCTAGAATTTAATTTGAGAGATTCTAATTCTTTTAAGAAGTGAATATGTTGTAAAAATATGTTTAATATTTGAAATATTTACTTTTTAAATAATATTGTTAAGTGTTAGAAGATTAAAAGAAAATGAGTTTGCTAATACAATATTATTAGTATTTTTTGCTAGAAAAAGCATTTTTTTGGTTTGAATTATAAGAAAATGAGAAAGTTTTGTTTGTATAGTTTTGTGAATAGAGACTATTTAGAGTAAATATTCTAAGGAAAGTTGAAGTTGAGATTAAATAGTGAAGAGATTTGTGATAGTAAAAGTTTTTTA